ACATTGAATGAGTGAAAGCACTGCAAGAACTATATATGAATTCGGAGGAAAGGATGAAAGTTTTGTAGGCATTAAAAAGATTATGAATTATCAGCTTCTACATCTATGACCAATCACCATGGCAAGCATAGCTATGAGCTGGAGAACTATTCAATCAACGTGTATGGGATCAATCCCTACCATGCCTCCTGTTCCTACTCCCTACACCATATGCAATGCAACTCCTATGTAGCACACGCATGCACCCCTAAAAACAAGCAAAAACCAGAACTGGCACAATGCGTCGGAGTTTACAAACAGCCGTTAAGTATGTTTCCCTGAATAAACCTTCCTGCATGTCTTCTTCGTGTCCTCCATAATGAGACAAATGGGAAATTGAAGTCCAGATTGCACAAAACGCTCAAACACCACCAATAAAATTTTTTTTTTTTAAAAGATCAAAACGATGAAAATATAATAGATTATCGGGTCCGACCACTCTGACCTGCTGTTGGAGTTGCGGGAAGATGAAGATGAGAACAGGGTCTGATCATGAGACCCAGGGAAGTCCGTCATTTCTGTCGATTTCATTGAGATTAACAACAGAAATTGGAATCTGAGAGAGTTACCGGAGGGGAGGGGATGCTAATTCCTAAATCCTAACATCTGAAAGCATGATTCGTCTCGAAGAGACTAGCCTCTCCTCTCTCTCTCCCTCCCTCCCTCCTCCAGAGGGTGCTTAGGGAGTTCAATTCAGCCTCCTTGTCTGATTTCGGATCGGTCACCGTGCAACACCTTTCCGGGGAGTCAAGGTTTGATCTATTTTGGGATGAAATGTGATACTAGGGAGTTTTAGGGGAAACGCGACGCAAATAACGAGCATTTTGAAGGTCGAGGAGTAGCCGGCAAACAGCATGCTCTTGCGGGCCGGATTTTGACCTAGAAAGAAACACTTTGACGCGTTGGCCCAGTTTCCACGGTCAAGTTTGGTGATGTGGATAAACCAAAAAACAAAAAAAAAAAAAAACGCAAATGATGGTTCTTTTTAGCTTGCCAATAACGCCTTGTGATATGACTAGGTTCCAGCTAGGAGTGCACATAAGCAGGATTGAATTGAGTAAGATTTTGCTCGATGCCTAGATTAAAGAATGAATGGGCTATAAAATGTAGCCCGATATCCAACCCTGCTTGCAAAAATGTCTTATTAGTTTAGATTGGGCAAAATTAGTTGGGCAACTTTGGGTCGCCCAACCCATCAAATAATTACCCTGCTTATAAAATAACAACTCTTCTCATCATTTTAAAATAAAACTATCACAAATCAACAATAATAACCCTATATATTAACTCAAAATAGCATTCATAAAATCATAAACCATAAATTCACAATAATGACCACAATATTCAATTATCCAAAATTTAACATTTAACTTGAAATCTAAAACTACCATAAGTCTTGACATAATATCAAATTATTCATAATTCAATCTAAAATAACAGCTATAATTCAAAATAACAAAAGCTTGGAGCATCATATGAGAAACAATAATTTTAAAGAGTAGGCTCTAATTCACAAAAAGCCTCTTTTCAATTCCCAACTTGCATGAATAAAAGAGAAAAAATATGTCATAACTAAATAGAAAAATTGCAAGAACATACATGAAAATTTAAAGCAAAATGAGAATCAAAATATGAGAGAATTAACAACAATAATATATAAGTTTGCTAAAAAAATTAGCAAGGAATCATAGGAAAGTTAGCAAGAAATTAATTGAAAAATTAACAAAAAAATCATAGAAAATTGGGCTGGGCTAAACATCCAAGGCTGTATGCTTGCCTACTGCCTAGCCCTGCCCGTACATTGCCTAGCCCAAACATGTACAGAACATTTCGAACTTTTTTTGGGCCGGGCTGGGCAAAAAATATTCAGGTTCGAGCGGGCAAATCAGGCAATCGAACATCATGAACACTCCTAATTCGAGCATGATAGGATTCTTATTCTCTCCAGTGCCACCTTATAGGAAATTAGACGATGGGTTCTTTAATAGGTTAATACAGGCCTTTACATCGTAAACTCATTTTATCAGGGAAAGGATTCGCTGCATCATGTAAATGGGATGTGAATATCCTTAATACAAATGTAAATGCATGCTTAATATACACCAGAAGCCATCTTATTGGCCACATTTCACCCGAGCTCACATTTTTTTGAATGATTTTTATCATCTAAATTTATTTTGTTTTTTAGTTTTAATTGTCTCCTATTTTTATTTTTTATTTGTAATTATAATCCAAGTTAACTGGAAATTGTTCTCGTGCAACTGTGACAATATTAAAAGGATTGAGTGATATTTTCATTCCTAAATTGTTTCACATTGAATACCAATTACCTTAAATTATTTATTAGAGCAATATCATTTTTCAAGCACAAAAATCATTATAGTGTTGCTATTTGATCAATGGACATTGTAAACTATTAATTCAATATTGACTCTAATTTAAATTTTTAAATTATTCACGAAAAAGTACTTGACACATATAGTTTAGTGGTACAGGATGGATGCATTTTAGTTTAAAATGTCACATGTCTTGCTGAATATTTACATGTCAAAAAAGTTATGGTGATCTATTGGTGATTAATTGTTTGTGTTGTCGTGGTTTATATAAGTATTTGTTAATCTTTTTTCATTTGTATCAATAAATTATTGGCTGGAAGGAAAAGGTGGTATCCATATCCTCCTCCTATGTTTTAAGCCAAGGCATTTTTTATAACATAAAGAGTATATTTCGTCAATAAAAAATATAAATACTATCATTTTTTGAAATACTGGTAATAGAGAGCAGATCTCCAACAACTGAGTTGTTACATACACAAGTGCAATGTAGGTTGAGAGTTCTTCTCCTAACATGTGCATGATTAGCAAGTCATAATAAGTTTATGTGTGTCACATAACTTGCTAGTTGATCATTGATTAAAATTATACTGACAAACCTCTTTTTTAACAATGAACACCAATTTAGCAAGACACAAGAGATCCTCTGAACCTGATGCCGCATGTCTTGACAAGAAAAAATATAAGCCATCAATGGCTCCATATTATTAAATTTTACTGCAATGGTTACTCTTCCATGGAAATTCTAAAGACAAAAATATTATTTAACCCAAGTCAATCAACTTAGAACCAACTATCAACATCAATGTTTATCAATCCGAGGGCAATGTCACAATAATTTTATCACGCGAAAGGCAATGCTAATCCTATTATTAATATTAAATCAAACCACGTGATTTGAGAATTGTCTAAACTAAAGAAATTTCCCCCGACTGTGGATATTGGCCAGTCTTTATTAATCCAATTTGGCCCAGTTAGATGTAAATGTCATGAGTTCAGGCCAATTACAAAAACGCTTAAATCAAATCATGCTCTTCTTCCCCATTCATACTGTCAATTTTTTTTTCCCAACACAATTCAAGGCGCCTATTGTTAGAAATAAAAAGTGACTGTCTAGAAATATAAGAGATAATAAATGGATAAAAGTAGCAAAATGACATCATATCTTTATTCAAAATCTTAAAATTTGAATTCATGAGTTATTTATTTTTATTTCATATTAATATTTAACTCTATTTGAGATAGGACTTTTCATATTGGCTCAAGTACAAGATTAATTCCATTTGGGACTTTAAATGTGCATGTAAACCAACTTTTTCTAAGTTTTAGGTGAATTCAAGCTCTAATACCACTTACTTTAAATAAGAAGTGACCATTTGCAAAAGTAGAAGTCGGGAAATGGGCAAGCATGGCCGAACGACATTACATCTTAATCCAAAACCTTAATATTATAGTTTATGTGCTTTTTTTAATTTTATATTAATTATTAAACTTAATTTTATTCAATGTAAAATTTTTCATGTTATCTTAAGCTTAGTTTTTAGGTTTTAAATGATATGATGCACATGAATCCTTGCTTAAAATGGAGAGTAACTGCTTAAAGAGATAAAGAGGACAAATAATTAAAAGCAGCAGAAGGATATCATATCTTAATTCAAAACATTAAAGCATAAGTTTGTGAGTAATTTCTTCTTATTTTATATTAATTATTAAACTAAACTTTATTCAAAATGAAGTAGTCATTTATACTTACACTGCATAACACCTAACTATATTCTCATCTGCAGTTAAATTAAACATGCACGCATAGACACTTAACTCGTGGAAAGGATAACACACACTAAGCTTCCTTCAACAGAATTTACTGAACAGTTTTATTTTATTCTTATATTTGGAGTATACTATAGCATATCCCAACATAAAAGTCGCGCTATAATTTAGTTTTGACATCCTCTAGCGAAATACGCGTTATCACCTTATTTTTTGCTATTAGATTTAATTAAAACAAGTCACACCTTTTTCTAGAGAACATGTTTAAAATGAATATATTTTTTATTTTTATTCGTGAATGAATATAAAACAAAATGTAAATCTATTTATCTATCTTAAAAAACACCAAGAAAACAAACTTTAAAATGTAAATCAAACTATACATTTTAAAATAAAAATTAATACCATCATTATCTACATATTATCATTAAAATTAATATTAACATACAATATAAAATAAAATTATGCATTCTAAAATAAAAATTAATACTATCAAAAGTTGCATGGTTTATTGTTTAATTTTAATAAAATCTTGCAAGGTCTGCTTCTCGGAGAAAAGAACAGCACTTTCCAGACATTTCATATCAAAAGAAAATAACTCCAAATTTATTTAACAAACAAACTAGTCCCACCACTTTCAAATGTTTCCGAGAAACCATCAGCTCATTGGATCGCACACTTCCTCGCTTGCGTTCCAAAACGGCCACAGGGAAAAGAACGTTCCGCAATGTCGACATTAAACGGCCCCTAATTTGTCGTTTCATGAATCCGTTTCCCTCACGCTCCCCCACTTTGCGTGTACTAGACATTAGTCATCACTCATCATCAATACCCCAAAAACTGTATATGCATCCTGACTGCATCAACTCTCCCGCATTTAAGTCCCTCACCACCCTCTCCCTACTTTTCCTTTTCTGCTTCATTCACTGTCTCTCTCCCCCCACCGTCCGTTTCCGCACTTCGTTATCTTACCTTGGCCTCCATTTTCGTTCTTTCTTTAACCTCACTTTCTGCGTTTCTCCTACTATCTCGAGACGTACTTGTTTGTTGTTGTGTACCTACATCTTTCTGCTTGCCAAGATCTTCTCCCGCATTCCATGGATCTAGAATCCGAACCGCGCGCATTGTTGCATCTATCTTCTTATCTGTATTCTCTCTCCTAGGGTTTTAGACCATATGCTTCTTCTTCACTCCAACGAAACTTTGCAGCTATGACATATCTTCCTCCTGGCTGGCAATGCCACCGCGAAGAGGCTGATTGCTGGAGACCGCTTTGCTGGGATTTTAGAAGTTGCTGGGTTTACACAGCATATTTAGCTAGTTCGAAGTTGTTTGTTTCTGAAAATGGTTCTCTGTGAATCCTGGTTCGGCAAGAGAAAATGCCAACTTTGATCGTCTTCCTCCTTGTTCTTCTTAACTTGCTTATCTCTTGCTCAGGTAGGCAATTTTTCCCTTTATATCACCGCAGTCTATACTAGGATACTGTGAATGCTGCATGTTGTTTGGCTTTCTTGCAGTTCGGAAACGAGCCGTCGGAGCAAGTTATATGCAATATATGCTTGCTACTGTGACTCAATTTTTGTTCGTGTCTTTTGGATTCAATTTTCTTCGGATAAATAGCGTTTTCGTTTTCAAAATATGAATGATAAACGACGATTTGGTCACTAGAACCGCTTAGAAAAAAAATATAATTCTGCAACGTATAGTCCTCCTTTTACTTCATCTACTGTTTCGTTAGGAGCTTGATCTTCAATGAGTTCTAATTTATAGACGTGGTGGTTCTACATATGCATGGTCAATTGGCGAAAATCCAAAATTACATTGAATGAATGGATTGTTTAATGCCAATTCTGTAGCTTGGTAGTACCTGAATTATAGAAAGTGATGATTTAGCTGGATTCCTCAATTGCCTTGTTTAAGAAGGCAAGCTATCAAGTGTTAACATTAAAGTGGACTTAGTATAATTGATTGCTCATCCAAATTCATTTTTGCTAACTTATTAATGATTTTGTTGAACAGCTGTTTTATTGTTTTTCATTAAAGTTCAACTTGGTCAATGCAGGCAGTATGTATGGTGTATGACTTAGCTGTTTCCATTGATCTCTTACACGAGTTTTCGAAATATACCAAACCCAATTATTCTGTATAATTTTTTCAACTACAGATTACATTAGATACGAGAATATTGAGCACTTTAGTCTCAGCCCCTCACCTTCACTATTTTTTTTAAATATGATAATTTCATTAAATTTGAATATTCTGGCAATTCGATCCAGCTACTCTCATCCCCATGTTTTCTGCATTATCGACTAAACTGAGCAAACAGCTACTAAGTAACGTATTTTGCTTGCCTCTTGAAGAATAACTTACAATGAAATCACTGTTTACAGCTTGTAAGACGCTCCATTCTGCTAATGTATTTGCTTGAAATTAAATCAAAGTTCACTTCCTGTTTCAGAATTGATCTAATAGATAATTAGAACTTAATTTTTGTCTCCTCTCTCTATTAGCCAACGAACTGTTTGATGCACTGCTGTTTCTGAAACACTGAATTGATATCCATTTCTTTGAGAAACGTAAACGTTTAAGTAAAAATCCCAGTCATTAAGTGTGGGAGTTTTTTATTTTAAGTAGTTCTTGCATCATCGTGCCAGTTGAAATGAAATCTTACTTAAAGATTCAGTCATCTTGTTTAAATGCTCATGTAATTATTTTGGAAATATGAATTCACTTTCTCTACACTTAATTTGTTTCCCCCTAACTTTTGGGCAAAAAGTTGAGTTTCATGTGTTTTATGTATGTGTATGTTCTAAGATCTTGCTTAATCTGATTAGTGTAAGTTGATAGGGAGGATGTTTGACACTGTCAATACTCAATAGAGATTCTGAGATGCTCAGTACCCATTGTATTTCAGGTTATTTATCTTTAAAAGTACTCATGTCTCCTTCTCCAAAACCATACCACCCACTGTCTGTCAGGGAAATGTTATTTAAGCAGGGTATGATGGCAGATTTCATCATTGATTCTGCATTATCTGATCTGTTCTGTTTGATAATTCATTTAAAAAGTGTGACAATAATTGCACCATGGCATCATGTATGACATGCAGTTTCATTTTCTGCAGTGAAGTCAGTTTCTACTACTGTATCATCTGCCTCACCTAAACCTGCTAAAACTTGGCTGGTTCCTTCTTTGGCACCTGCACCGTCTCCATCTGGTCAAGGTATATTATAAGTTTCAATAACTTGCTATTAGACCCTATATCTCTCAGTAACTTAGCCATGTTCTCTTAGGTCCTCTCGTGAATCATAGGCCAAGACATCATCACCATCTTCATCATCACCGTGGGATGAGACCTCATGTAGTAGCTCCATCCCCTTCTAAAGATCAAGGTAATATCTGGAAGTCAGGTGCCCTTCCCCCTCTTGTACTTTCTTGGGGCAGAGGAGGTTTAAATATAATTTCTGAATAACTCATGGTTATACACTTGGTATTACATTCTCTCTCTCTATATTTGTGCATGTGCATGACTCTGCATGTGCTTCTTTACTTTCTTCATGTCTACTTAGTCATGTAAGTAGGCCACAGAAATGATGATTTTATTCTTTGCAACCAAATAAAATGAATTTTATGATTTTACTACCTTCTCACTTTGTTTTTAAATGTATAATGTTCTTTAGTTGTGGTGATAAGCTGATGAATTGTCTTGAAGTAAAAAAACAGACTTATGTGAAAGAAAGTTTTGTATTTATATTTTGATTCTTTATATGAAAATGCGTGGAAAAACAATTGAATCATCCTAAATTATATTTCCCCCTAATGTTAAGCTGCCATTGCCACCATAAAAGCGTTTCTTGCTTCTCTAAATTTTGGTAGGGTGTCAGTGTAATGGTTTGAACTAATGCAGTGGCCCTGGTTTTTCATGTTTGTGGCAAAATTAAAGCTTTGGATGCTGTCAGATAATGACTTTTCCTGATTGGATTGCATTTATTGTTATTATTATTATTTTTTTGCAGTCTAGCATTTTCATTTGCCCTCCTAATATATAACTCTTATATACTCACTTTAACGTGAGGTCTCTGGCAGGTTGTGACCAAATATGTATGGATCCGCTTACAGCAACCCCCTTTGGTTCACCTTGTGGCTGTGTCTTTCCCATGAAAGTCAAACTTATTTTGGATGTTGCACCTTTTGCAATTTTTCCTGTAATGAATGAATTAGAGATTGAGGTTGCATCAGGCACATATTTGGCACAGAGCCAGGTGAAGATAATGGGTGCAAGTGCTGACAGTCAAAATCAGGGAAGAACTGTAGTTGATGTGAACTTGGTTCCACTAGGAGAGAAGTTTGACAACACCACTGCAGTTCTGATATATGATCGGTTTTGGCATAAGAAAGTTCCTCTAGATATGAACCTTTTTGGTGACTATGCAGTCCTGTCCATTAGTTATCCAGGTAGTTGTATTGTTTCCCTAATTACATCTTACTTTACTCCACTTTTGTTACGTTGTTAGTTAAGAATTGAAGCAGTTGATATCAGGGATTCCATCATCGCCACCATATGGAAGCTATGTTGGGAGTGGTCCTAGTGGAAGTGCCGGTAATCTTCCAATCACTGCCAACTTTGTCAGCAAGAACCAGAAAATGAATCTGAGAACCACAGTCATCATTGCTTTATCTGCCTTTGTACTCATGTTGGTTTTGATCGGAGCATTTTCCATTGTGTTGAAATGGAGGAGGATTACCAGACCATCCAGTGCTGTTGGTCCTGCATTTACTTCATCTATAAACAAACGATCTGGTAAAAATTGTAACTTTTCTGTTTTTGGCATTTTGATTTATGATGCTGAAACAGGAATTGAAGCAAATGTTTTCATTGCAATGCATTTTATTTATTGTCTACAATACTTAACTGGGTATAGTCTAAAATATTAGCTATTCTCTCCTTGGAGGTGCCTCTTTTTGCAATTTATTTCCATTATTGAAGTATGCTGTCATTGTCATTAGTAGAACATTTTTTTTTATTTTTCTTGGGAAAGTAAATTAATAAGACGCTTTGTGCTTTTATAACTTCGTAATTTGTTGAAGTTTGGACTTTGCAAGTTTGCACTCTTTAATTGGTTTAGTTTTGTGCTGCATTTCAATTAGGTTCCCTAATTTACATCTGTGTGCCTCATGATTCACGCACTTGACTGTTTCATGGCAACTTTTAAGCATGCTATGGAAAGAATCTATAGCAGAATCGGGACTTTTTTTTATCTTTGGTGGTCCTTGGTATGAAGACATGTGAACTAACCTGTTTTGATGAGTGAGATGCATGCACTTGTGGTATTTATCCTTGTTAATTATAGGAAATTTCATGCTATTGTGGTTTTCTAAATTTTCAACTGCATCATAGTTGAGCGAAGTGTAAAGAATGATACGTGTAATTCAGGCATGGGGTCTATGTTGTCAAGCAGTATTACAAGCTCAACATCAGTGTCCCTCATGTCAACCATGGCTACTTCTGTTCTCTCTGTGAGAACATTTTCACTTTCTGAGCTTGAGAAAGCAACAGATAAGTTCAGTTCAAAGAGAGTATTAGGAGAAGGGGGATTTGGGCGAGTTTATAGTGGGACATTGGAAGATGGAACTGAAGTTGCAGTCAAGCTGCTAACAAAGGATAATCAGAATGGAGACCGTGAGTTTATTGCAGAAGTTGAGATGCTAAGCCGCTTGCACCACCGTAATCTTGTGAAACTCATTGGTATCTGTATTGAAGGGCGTAGAAGGTGCTTGGTGTATGAGCTAGTTCGCAATGGCAGTGTTGAGTCCCATTTGCATGGTAACATATCTACATCAGTAATAGACATCCACTCCTTAATCAACTTATATTTCAGTGACATCTTTTCAATTAAATCACTTTGGATTTCTCATTATATTCAACAGGCTTTGACAAGAAGGAGCCTCTTGATTGGGAAGCAAGGATGAAAATTGCTCTTGGAGCGGCAAGAGGCTTGGCCTATCTTCATGAGGACTCTAATCCTCGTGTAATTCATCGAGACTTCAAAGCTAGTAATGTGTTATTAGAAGATGATTTCACCCCTAAGGTTTCTGATTTTGGCTTGGCAAGAGAAGCCACTGAAGGAAGTCATCATATTTCTACGCGAGTCATGGGAACTTTTGGGTATGTTAAATGTTCTTCAGTCTTTTTCAAAGTTCTGTAGTATATTTTTTAAATGTTCATTTTATAAACCTTGTATACTGCTACAAAACTTTATAGTTAATCTTCAACATCTTTTAATGTTTCTAAGCGTGTAGAAATTATGTTTAACTTTCTAAATCTGCAGGTTCCCCCTCTTATATTGCATAATAGTTTCATTATTTTGCTTGACTTGCTACTGAATTTTAATTCATGGTTCATTTAATTAATGCAGTAAATATTCTGATCGCATATACAACTCTTCTGCTACACTGCATGTCTATCCATAATAAGAGCTATTCAGATCGTCATTTATTTTCTCATCTAAGCACTTTCTTTTATGTCAAATAGCAAATACAACTTTTCTGCTGTATGATTTATGACTCACGTGTCTAATAAAATCACGTTTGGATACAGTCTGCGTCTGCGTTCCTCATGCCATAATACCCCGCCTTTAATTTAGTTGTGCTTCGTTTTGCAGGTATGTTGCCCCCGAATATGCAATGACAGGCCATTTACTTGTTAAGAGTGATGTTACAGCTATGGAGTAGTGCTGCTTGAACTTCTTACTGGCAGAAAACCAGTGGACATGTCTCAACCTCCTGGACAGGAGAATCTAGTGACATGGGCAAGGCCACTCTTGACGAGCAGAGAAGGTTTAGAACAGCTAGTGGATCCATCTTTAGCTGGAAATTATGACTTTGATGACATGGCAAAGGTGGCCGCCATTGCCTCCATGTGTGTCCACCCCGAGGTCACTCAGAGACCTTTTATGGGTGAAGTTGTGCAAGCTCTGAAATTGATATACAATGACACAGACGAGACTTGTGGGGATTGCTGTAGTCAGAAGGAATCTTCTGCTCAGGAGTCTGACATTAGAGCTGATCTTGCTCCTTCAGATAGCAGTTGGTGGAATGCCGGAGGGATGACCCCAAGGCTTACTTATGGTCAAGCATCGTCTTTCATCACAATGGAATACAGTTCTGGTCCACTTGAAGAAATGGAAAATAGACCGTTTTCAACTTCAAGCTTATTGGGTGACGAGATGTCTTCACCAATTAGGCATGGGAACAGATCAGGGCCCTTAAGATCAGTCCGAAGCAAGCTATCTTTGTATAGATTTACCGGAAGTCGGAGTGAACATGGGGGACTTCCTTCTCAGCGTGGTTTAAACGATGGTTACTGGATTTAAGAATTCAGGTTTCTGGGCTGTCTCTCTCTAAATGTACAGTTCTACAAGGATATGAACCATCGATTGAATGACTGATATAGTTTAGGCGTCTCATATTCCTGCGTTTTTCGTGTTAACATTGGGGAGAGACAAATTATTGACTTCTAATTTTGAAATATTGATTCATTACTCAATGATGAATTGAAATGTAACTTATGCGATGTTATGTAAATGCCCTGAATTATATTTGGTTGCAGCCCGCGTTTATATATGTTGAAAAATTAAATAAACATCTTTGAACATCAATCCTGATCTTTTTGTTTAGGTAAAAGATCAATCCTGATCTGCTAGACCGCATCTTTTATCTCTTTTTGTCGGCTCCTTAAAAGAAATATGGCCCCCGATATATTTTTTTTGGCCCATGAGATGTTAGAAGCAACCATTTTAGAATATTCTGTAGGCCGTTTAACCCAAAAAAAAAAAAAAGATTTAGCCTCCAAAATGATTATAGAAATGTATGTGAAATAGCCGGATCCGGACGATGACTTGTACTCTGATGATACATTTACCGCTGCTCTGACGTGTTTATAAAATTCTAAAGATTCTCGTGACAATATTATTTCTAAGCAAGATCGAAATCCTCAGTAGGTTGGTATGGGGTCATGTCTTAGGTCCACTTTGTCAAGGTATTTTACGACTCCATCAAGACTAGGCTTCCATCCCATGATAGGTTTGTTGATTTTGGGACATTTGATCAGTCAGTCATAGGTAATGAATGACAAAAGGAAACAATTTCTGGTAAATTCTCCTCTTTATTGCCCAAAAATATTTCTTGTTGTTAAGGATGGGAGCGATCATTTGGAAATAATGGAAGAAGAGAAATGGGTAAATAACAATAGAAGAACATCACATTTTAATTCAAATTTTAAAGTTTAAATTTATAAGTTATTCTCTTATATTTTATATTAGTTATTAAATATAATTTTACCTTTTGCTCAATGATATAGTGCACACAAGTCCTTATTGCAACCAAGAGCAATCCCATATTGAGAGTTAAATGTGAATGCAATAATGGACTCTTAGGCCTTGTTTGGTACATGGGACTGAAAGCTAGAGACTAGGACTAAGAAAACCTAACTTTTCATGTTTAGTTAGATCATTGAGCAATCCAAATCCAATCCTAATCCCACCTTACATGGGATTGTTTAGTACCGCCTACTCCCTTAGGTTTGCAAAATCATTCCTGGGATAGGAATATCTAGACGAAGTTGCCCTTACCATCTCTTCTCTCTCTCTCATCTCTTCCTTTCGTATCTAGACCTGGACGAGTTGCTTTCCGAAGATGCAAAACATTGACGAAGAAGAAGATAAAGGAAGAGGAAAGATCAGAGTCGGAGACATCATTGACTTCTCCAGATTTGCAAAATTTGAACCTGAAACTGAACAGAGTTTCAGAACTGAAGCTGCTATGGTTGACTTCTCCAGATCTGACAGGAGATAGAGGAAGAGGAAAAATTTGAGTCAGAGAAGTTATCGACTTCTCTAGTCTGTCGCGTTTGAACCTGAAATTGAACAGAGTTTCAAAACTAAAGTTGCCATGGTCAACTTCTCTGGATTTGCCATGGTCACTTCTCATGAGCTAGGTCACAATTTTTTTTCAAGTGTAAGGGATATTATAGTCTTTTCATAATTTATGTTTAATTATAAAATAAAATAAAAGTAAGTATTTCCTACACGTATTGCTCATACCAAATATAATTTTAAACCATCATTCCCACTCCCACTATTAATACCAGTACCAGTCTTAATTGCAATCTCTCTAAATCGAAGTCTGCATTCCAAACAGGGCCTCAGGTCTTAGGCAAAACTTGGCTTTGATATCAATTGTTAAAAATGATGTGCGACCACTTGAAAACTTGGGAGATGAGAAATAGGATAAAGAGTAATGGAAGGACATCACATATTAACTCAAAACTTCAGTATTTGAATTAATAGGTCATTCTTATTTATTTTATTCTCCATTCGTCCCAAATGACATGACACTTTTAGACAAAATTACATATATTAATAAAACTCATTAAATACATTTTACAACTTACTTTTTAAAGACAAAAATATAAACTTTTAAAAATGCCCTTCATTTAATACTCAATTTGTAAAGAATATTAAAGAGAGGGAATATGAGGGAAGGGTAATATTGAAAAAGTATCATTAATAAAACCATCTTAAAAACTAACCATATGAAAATCTCATCTAAAAGTATTTTATAATTTAGGACAAAAGTAGTATTAATTATTAAACTCAATTTTATGACATCTTGAAAACTAACCATTTGATTAATTTATCTAACTAAGGGTAAATAAGTAATTTTGCATGTAATTGTATGTGTTTGGATGGTTAAAGAGGGCTAATGGACCTAATAGGTTATGGTTGCAGCTTGGGGATTAGGCTCAAAGTAAAGTTAGGTCATTTGTGCTCTGAAAGAGGAAGATAACTTAGGAGGCCCTTTGTTGTACCATACATCGCAGCATATGCTACATGAGCCGTGGCATATCACTCAAAAAAGGAAAAGATCCTTTTGTGTGCTATTTACCACGATGCGTGTTGCGTGTGCCATGATGTATGGCCAAAAATTTTGATAAAGAACACAAGTTGCATGCAAAAAGAGAGAGGGATAAAAATAGAGTTTCTGAGAGAGGGATGAGGAGCACGACTTAACTCTTCTATTTGTGAAGGATTGGAGCTTCCTATCACCTCTAATAAGTTTCACTACCTTTCTTTTTTCTTTTCTATACTACTTCTATCTAGGGTTTGTAGTTAGAAAATAATTTTCAAACTTATAGGGTTATAGATTCAAACTTATTGATTCAAATAAAATTAATAAGAGTTCTTTGAGTTAACTAAACCTAAGTTTAATGATTTTGAATGTCCATGAGAGTGTGCTCTCTTAAAAAGATGAATTTATGTCCTAAATACCATTAATGATGGTGGTTAAGGTGGTTGGGCTATAACAAATATGGTTTAAAGAGTTTAATAAGGTTTGTTAGAGCTAATAGGAGTTAAGAAACTCAATGGGTATGATTGACTACAAGAGCTTGGGATGTCGAGTAGTTAAAGTATTAAAATAGAGAGTTAAGATTTTGTTAATGAGGATATTAATGATTGTTGGTATGATAAATTATAGATTAATCATTTTTGACACCATTTAAGCTTGGCAAAGCTTTAAAAGTAGTTGTTATTGATGGGTAAATATTTGACCTTTTAAAGATTTCAAGTAATCAAAAAAAATTTAGCTTATGCAATTGTTTGTTAGTTAATTATAGATATTTGTGATTTGCTTTGAAAATAGAAATGTAACTTTTAAAATGTGAAAATGCAGGGATGGCATGAAATAAACATTTATATTATTGTGATAAGCATGATCTTGCTTCTATTAATTTATGAGTGTTAGGCAAAGATTGAAAAGAATGCACATGGTATCAATGTCATGAATCATGAAATTGAAATTTGTGATGTAATAGTGATTTGGTAAATTATGTTGATATGGGAATGATGGATGATGTGATAGGTATAAAGCATGAGAGTTTACATGCTTAAATATGATGTTTGAATGCTTTGCATGCAAAGAACATGTTGATTAGGGATATGCATGCTATGTGTTAATTATGAATTGAGTATATGATTATTATTGGTGGCAAGACTGCCATTAGAGCTTGATGGTTTATCGATTATTTAATGTCTCACTTGTTCAATGAGAAACTATTTCATGGTTTATCGAAAGAATCAAACCTAACTAGTTTCTACTTGTTCAACAAAAAAACTAGTTTAAAGACAGGACACCACATAATGTGTTATTTGGGAAAGTCGTGGTTCAAGAGTGAGAGTAATAGCTTTAGCTAGGTGGCTTCTCATAATTAAAGAGCTTGGGTAGTTTATTCATACAAACAAACCCACTGATTTAATAGCCCATGACTTCATTTGAAGGTATTAGGATAATATAAGAATGGTATTGATAATACATAGCATCTTGTAAGTAACATGGTTGTTATTATTTTGATATTATGCATATATTTGTTCAAGGTCACGTGATTGTTAGTATTGTGACTGTACTAGATTGATAGTTATGGTGATTATATGATGTCTTTTACTATACCACTTGCATTTTTTATGGTTATTTGACTTGCATTTGTATAAGTTAGATTGACCTTCATTATTAAGTAGTTGTATTATCCCTTTCTATTTAATAATTTATAAGTACTAGCATGAGGTAAGATAGAAGGAAAGCTTCAGAGGCTTAGGATTGATTATTTGATTATTTTGATTAATTGTATTTAATATTGATAATTGCCAATAAGGGATTCATACTTTTGATAATTACTTGCACTTTATTGTTGATATTGATTGGTGTATTTTAGCCCTTGTGGTTGTGCTTATAATTTGATATGTTAAGGCAGGGCCAAAATACTAGCGTAAGTATAGATTTGACTATATATGCATGTTAGTGGATGGCTATATTGAATTTTGATACGAAATTGCTTTCCTCTTTTATTTTTGAGATTAAAGGGTTGAGGGTTGGAAAGATGATAAATGTGTGTTTGTATTTCTGTGGTATGTTACACAAGTAATTTTGAGTCGATTGAATGTAATCTATGGTTGATTGTGAGCTTCTGGCACTCAATAGGGGTTTTAGATACCCAATTTGTATTTAAAGTGTGAAATTAATAAATTATGCAAGTTTATAAATGGGTATCTAATTTTCAATTGAGATGAAATTTTAAAATGAGACTAGTGCCATTAATTAGAGCTTAAAAAGAGCTTTTTATAAATACCTAAATTATATTGATCGGACATTAAATAAAGAATTGGGACATGCCAGAAGTTTGGCCTCGATGCTATCATATGACAGCAAGCTATGCTATCAGTATTTGTGCAATACATCACAATGCATTACACAAAGAGGCGAAGCTATGGCTTGTGTACCTTGACTCGCGACACACCCTCTAATTTTACTATCTGGTTTATTTTTCAACTATATTTCAATTTAACTACATTATAGTATCTTATGCTTTAAACTCTGATTTATATTGATTATACTTGGTTTATGGTATTTTAACTTTTAAAAACTTGGGATTCCATTTTATTTGTTTTGATTTAATGGTTTGAAAATAGTAGGACACTTGGTACTATCTGAGTGGTCCTTTTTTCTTTCATGGTGAAATTATTATTTTTAACTGTAGTTAACTGATTTAAAATATA